ATGTTTCAGCGTCAGCCCCTCCGAATCACAGAGAGAGGCTTCTTTCTTTTCATTTTCACCGCCGTTCGGCAATGATACCGGGAGAAATCCATCATAGGAAGGGCAGAGATAACAGCCCCTCACTGACAGCTGCCTCCACGGACCACAATGCATTGCAGAGACAAGATATGTTGCATTTTAGGCGAGGGCCACACAGCTCTTCATGTGACTGGTAAAACTCTCGCTGAGTTGCATTTCTCCTGTCATATATATCCCTGTAAATTCCTTCTTAGGAGAGATAAGGTAAACTAAATAATACCTACCTGAAATAGACTGATAAGTTGAGGGAAAGTTTATCTGCCAATTTCAACACTTTTTCACGGTATCTAGCCTATGAGGTTTTAAGATACATTTCCTCCTCAACCCCAATACAATGGTGGTGGATAACGTTTTCATTTTGGTTCTCACTGAATGGAAAAATGGATGTGGCAATGATACACAATTATGTTATTGTCAGAAAATCCCCTTTACAAAAACAGCAATGTCTTTGTCCAACTCTCAATAGTTTTTAACGTCTTTGTCCTCTTTGTGGCATATTTCCAACAATAAAAACATATGTATATAACATTAATATAAAGTAATGAAAGGGATAGCTTCCTATTTACTGAATTGTTTTGATCGCTTTAGATGACTATACAGCTCTCTGAAATGAATGTGCTGTGTAGTATTCAATTACAATACCAGTACAGTTCTCACTTTATATATTAAAAAAAAGCTATTTTAATACATGATTAGGTCAGTCCAAATCTACATTGTTTTAATTTACAAACATATAAACCTAACAATAGTCAATGTTGCATAAAGGGGCAACTTTTCATTGTGTGTAATGTGTATTCCTTCCTTCAGTTTTTGATTAATACACATTTTTGGGGTATATTGGAACACCTTAGTGCTTATACACTTTTTAAAAGGGAGGCGTGTGGTGCAGTGGGTTGAGCGTTGGTGTTCGGATCAGGGGCTCACAGGTTCAAACCCCACTGCAGACAGCATGTCGTCAGACACTTCAACCCAAATTGCTCCTGTGGGGATTGTCCACAGTATTGTAAGTCGCTTTGGATAAAAGCGTCTAACAAGTGACATGTAATGTTAAAGAAATTAGCAAATCAATTTGAGAAACAGTGTCCCCAATACTCTGGATAATCCACCTCACTGTGAACAGTTTTTTTTTTACAGGAACTTTTTCTCCAGCGTAAACTTGTTGCAATACAAAAAGTAGTTTACTGTGAGTTATGTGGATTGATCAGATCCCAGAAATGTTTTTCTGCAAAAGGGATGTTGTCATTGTCGTATTTTCTGTGTCATTTTTCAAAGCTGTGAAAACCACCAGCAAAATCCCATTTCCCTGAGGTAGGGGCGGAAATCTCAGAGGCGCATATCTTTAAAAAACCCAGGGAATAACAGTAATTTTCACATGTCATAGAAGAAAAGCAGGTGTAATTTAAGGCAAGACAACCCAGGCAAAAACATTGTTTGTTATATTCACTACAGTATATACATTTTTTGAGATTTTGCCTCCATAAAATGTCTTTTTTGAGACGTGGAAAAAAAACATCTAGAAAACATTGAGGTGTTTATCTTTCAATTTTTACTGTAGATTTATTTGAAAATGCACCATAAGTTTGCAGGAGAGAGTTTGTAGTGGATGCGGTGTGAAACGGGGAGCCTTTGATGCCATGATTTGGTGTGGGGGAGGAGTCTGGCGGCTGCGTTCTGGACACGCTGGAGTCTACTGAGGGATATGAGGGGCCGTACAGGCCATAATTCATACTGGTCCTCTCACGCACATACATTCTCCTTTTACATACATATATTTTCACTCTTACATACATACATTCTCCTTTTACATACATATATTTTCACTCTTACATACATACATTCTCCTTTACATACATATATTTTATAATATGCATGTCTGAAGGGAATATATGTATGCAAGAGAAGAATGTATGTATGTGTGAAGACAATATATGTATGTGAGAGAAGAATGTATGTATGTGTGAAGACAATATATGTATGCAAGTGAAGAATGTATGTATGTGTGAAGACAATATATGTATGTGAGAGAACAATGTATGTATGTGAGAGAGAAAGTATAGTGGAAACGGAAGGAGTATGGTTGAAACGGAAGGCAGGTCATTCTTGCGCTGTGATTGGCTCAGAAGGTCGAGCGGGGCGGGCTCATGTTCAGAACTTCTGATTTCAAATCAACATAACATGATGGAGGGAGATGAATCGCGTAGATTGCAGCAAGCATTAGGGGTTTTAAGGAACATTTAGTCAACCCCTGAAACTGTCACATCCCTGGCCAGGTGTCCTTGCGGGTGCGTTCGCTTTACTTATCAGAGCGTGCCGTAAGGGCGGTTACTCTTTGGTTTATAAACTCCCTCCTGGGACGGACTGATGCATTAGATCAGGGGTGCCCAATCGCGAGATGTGTCTAAAAATAGAACAACAATATTCAGTTTTATCGTTAATGTCCTATAACATAATCTTCCTGTGCCAGAATAATGCACTTGAACGCATCAAAGCTTTGTGATTTGCTGGCGTGACCCCATGTGTCGGGGCGTGGCTTGTGGGCACTAGTTTGCTGACGTTGTCCGTGTCAACAGGAGTGACAGTCCGCACACACAAAAGACCGCAATTATGGCAGAAGCAAAAAAGCCCAAAATATATAATTTTCACTCCGAGTGGGAGGATGATTATTTTTGTATCTATTCCAATTCAAAGTCCATCTGTCTCTCATCTGCAATGCGAGCGTGGCTTTATTGAAGAAGGGTCATTTAAGAGCGGCATTTCAAAACAGTGCACAAACGCTACGAGACGGAACTCCCTCCTAATTCTGCCCTACGCTCCCAAAAGGGGAGGGGCCTGAGAGGACAGCTAAATGCACAGCAGTCCATTTTCACCAGGCCCAACAACAAGAGAAGCATTTCAACAGGTTTTTGATATAATAAAAACTCAAGTTAAATACCGTTATTAATCAGCTGTAAGTTTTAGTTTATTTGAACTTATTCATTATAATTATTGTACAAAATGGTATAAGAATGCAAACTTAAATTGATTATAGTCTATTATCAATTCAGGTTAAGAAACTAGTGTTGCTTGCATCCTATTTTAAAGGCATTTCTTTTTATAATCTACTAAAATGCAACAAAAAAAAGGTTTGATTCTATTAATGTTGTCTTTTTTATTGCACTGTTGCAGCAGATTCCTGTGTAGCTTCAGATCTGAGTTGTCTTATTAGTAAGCCTAATTTATACTTTTGTAGCAACACTATTTTTATATAATGTCAAAGAAAGGGTTCAGAGTCTTTTCTTTTTTCCCTGTGTCATATGTGGCAGCACTGTTCAATGTTTCTTGAAGACATTACCCACTGTAGTATGTGACGTGTGGATAAACTCCAACTCTGTATCAACAACACTGTTGTGTAACTTCAGTTAAATACTTGTATGTGTGTAGATTAGAAAGAGATAAGATAAAGGATCTGCCGTATTTTATGAAGTATTAATCGTACAAAGGTCAGTTTTATACAAGTAGAAGTGTGTATTTACCTGGTAGTAGGCTGTCAGTAATGGCTACGCCCGTCTATTTGGACTGGTAGATCTCGGCAGACCGGCAACTTTAAAAGTAGCTCTCGGTTCAAAAAAGGTTGGGCACCCCTGCATTAGATTATGTGCTATATGGAGGGGACTTTGACAGAGTATTTCTCACAAAGTACACAGTAAAAGTACTTCAATGTATTGTTAGTAGCAGTCAAACTAGTACCGAGTCCAACAGTGTCAGTTTTATGAAGAACTTGTGGTAAAATATATTTGTAAAAAGAAAATGAAGAGCTACTGATTTGAAAAAACGGCTCTCTGTATAGTTTAAATCTCCTAACAATGTTGTCCATTTATTCTTCTCAATTCGAGTCCAACAGTGTCAGTTTTATTAAGAACTTTCAGTAAAAAATATTTGTAAAATATAAAGAGCAGCTGATTTGAAAAGACAAACGCGAGAGACGGCTGAGTGCCCGCAGTGCAGAATCGCTGTATAGTTTAAATCTCCTAACAATGTTGTCCATTTTAGACACATGCTTATTATATTTACAGCCTTAATAACATTCATTTTCTGGGCTCAATGTGTGTCTTGGCCGTTTTCATTGTGATCGCTAAATTCACCTTGTTTCCCCTTGTTTATAATTATGTTCAACGTTCCAAGCAAACGAGTGCTTTTGTTTTGAAATCACTTCCGCGAGTATCGCGCCCCCCCCCCCCCCTCGCTACAATGACCATTAGACCATTTAGTAAGGTAAAAAACAAAAACGCCTCGCAGACACTCTTCCGTTTACTTGTTTAATAAAGAAAAACAAGTGGTCCGTAGATACACGGAGTCATCTAACCCTAACCCTCTCCCTCCATTATGTTGATTTGAATCAGAAGTTCTGAACATGAGCCCGCCCCGCTCGACCTTCTGAGCCAATCACAGCGCAAGAATGACCTGCCTTCCGTTTCAACCATACTCCTTCCGTTTCCACTATACTTTCTCTCTCACATACATACATTCTTCTCTCACATACATATATTGTCTTCACACATACATACATTCTTCTCTCACATACATATATTGTCTTCACACATACATACATTCTTCTCTCACATACATATATTGTCTTCACACATACATACATTCTTCTCTCACATACATATATTGTCTTCACACATACATACATTCTTCTCTTGCATACATATATTCTCTTCAGACATGCATATTATAAAATATATGTATGTAAAAGGAGAATGTATGTATGTAAGAGTGAAAATATATGTATGTAAAAGGAGAATGTATGTATGTAAGAGTGAAAATATATGTATGTAAAAGGAGAATGTATGTATGTAAGAGTGAAAATATATGTATGTAAAAGGAGAATGTATGTATGTAAGAGTGAAAATATATGTATGTAAAAGGAGAATGTATGTGTAGCTCTTTTCACGACACAGACACAGGTCGGTTCTTTAAAACGGGCGTTTATTTCTTGGGAGTTTTCATCCTGTAGTCTTCCCTCTTCCGTTACGCCGTGAGAACTACAACACCGAAATGACACGCATACATAGCCAAACACATTAGCATATTGTGCTACACATATGAATGAAAACAAGAAAATGAAAACACAAAACAAATACCTCGTTGGCCGCTTGTCGTGAAAGGAGATTAATTTAGTTCCTTTTCTGCATAACTTCGTCACAGACCTCCCGTCACACTAAACTTTATCACAGACCTCAGCAGAGCTTCAAAAAGACGTCAACCCACATGGAGTTGTACAGTGTAACAGCAAAACACGCAATACCAGCACATGAACAAACATTAGTTCCTAGGCACAAGAAACACATACGCATATCGGCCCAAGATGTAAAACAAACTGTATTAAATCATGCCATATTTAACGATTATAAATAACATGAAATAAAGTATTCATTTATCCAATTGAACTATGACATTAACCGTGTTACTCCTTTTAATTAAGGCAACTTCGTTACGTCATTTACACTCCCACCAAATCACTCATTAACTCAAATGTGGGATTTCGTTCAAACAAAATGCAAAGAAACAGTCAAGTGTTTTCAGTGTGTATGACTATACTCTCATGTATGGGACTTAAGTGGCCTGAAGTAAGGTGACTACCTTATGAATAGGTCTTTCGAGGTAGACTAGTCTAGTGTGTGGTTTTCCTTTATCAAGTGTAGTGTTACTGACTAGTAACTTTAGCTTTCGCACCAAGCCGTCTGTTCCAGGGTGAGTTTCTACAACTCTGGCGAGCTTCCACTCATTTCTTGGTAGGTTGTCGTCTCGCAGAATGACAATGTCATCTACTTGTGAATTTTGTGATGCCTTTGGCCATTTCTGCCGCTGTTGGAGGTTTAGCAGGTATTCTCGTTTCCATCTTCGCCAGAACTCATTGGCTAAGAACTGCACTCTTCTCCATCTCTTGCGCAGATAGAGGTCTTCTTTACAGAACTCTCCAGGAGGGGGCAGAATAACTGATGACTTCATGGTTATTATGTGGTTGGGAGTGAGAGGCTCTGGACCAGTAGGATCGTGGAGGTGTTCAACACTTAACGGCCTGCTGTTAATTATTGCCATTGTTTCGTAAAGGAATGTTCTCAGAGTTGTGGTGTCTAGTCTGCTTGCAGACTTGTCTAACATGACTGTCAGAATGCTTCGAATCGTTCTGATTTGGCGTTCCCAGACTCCTCCCATATGGCTTGCTGAAGGAACATTCATTACAAATTCGCAACCAATTGCTCGTTGACGTTCCTGATCCATTCCTTTGAGCAACTCAGAAAACTCCCTCCTGGCACCAATGAAGTTTGTTCCTTGGTCGCATCGTAATTGGCGCACAGGTCCTCTGATTGCTACCATTGTTCGAAGTGCATTCATGAAGGCATCTGTCGTCAAATCGTCTAGCGTCTCTATATGCACCGCTCTGGAGCATAGGCAGGTAAACAACAATCCATATCGTTTTACCTCCTTTCTTCCTTCCTTCACAATAAAGGGACCAAAACAATCTATACCGCAGTAAGTAAACGGAGGGGATGTCTCGGTTCTGTCTTCTGGCAGATCGGCCATTTGTTGAGTCTCTGTGGTTCTTCTGTATTTCCTACATTTTACACACTTGTAGATGTGTGATGAAACTACATTTCCACATCCCAGGATCCATATTCCATTCGCACGTACCTCATTCATTGTCATGCCTCTTCCTTGGTGATGTACACGCTCATGATGATGTTTGACGAGCAAGGCGGACACATGAGCTTTCTTCGGAAGTATTGCAGGATGTTTTATGTCATGATGTAAGGCTGATTGAGATAGCCGTCCTCCCACCCTAAGAACATTGTTCTTGTCCAGGAAGGCATTCAACAGGTGTAGCTTGTTGTGCTTGTTCAAGGTGCTTCCCTTTTGAAGCTGAACTGTTTTAATTTCTTCGGTGAAGGCCTCTTCTTGCACCAGCTTGATAATAAAGATTTCTGCTTCTCTTCTTTCTGCAAGGTTAGTTGCTTCATTAGTTCTTGGCTGAAGTCTCCTGGATTCTCTGACAAATCTCTTGAGTCTTGCGACAGCTCTCACTGTCCTGGACCAGTCAGAAAACTTAGAGAAGCGGTTCAACAGTGAATTTTCTTCCTTAGTTTTGACTGTGTGAACATGAACTTTGCGAAGTTCAGGATCGTCTGTTTCCACTGCTCTCACCTTCTCTTCACATGGAAGGTTCAGCTGGAAAAGAAAGTCAGGTCCTTTTAGCCAGTTAGACTCTTTGAGCTGAACTGCGCTCAGCCCCCTTGAGGCGTAGTCGGCTGGGTTATTTTCAGAGCTGACATGTCGCCATTGTTCAGGGTTGGTGCTAGATCTTATGCGCTGGATACGGTTGGCAACAAACGTGTGGAACCTCTTGGCATCGTTGTTCAAGTAACCAAGGACTACCTTTGAGTCAGTCCAGTAATATTCTTGCAGGTTTTCAATCTCCAGCTCGCGTTTGATGACATCACCA